TATCAGCTCTTAAGTTGTGATTCGAGCCCAGACTAGTTGATAGATACGGCTATTGATTTAAGGTTGCATGGCTGAAAGAGTTCGCCATGGATTACTATCGAAGAAAGGCCTAGTCGACGTGGTGGCAGGTTGCGAATTTTATCTATTTGTTAATCTCTGCTGCTAAGCCAAGTTAAGGTCCTGATGCCTACAGGGACCTCCCACGTCTGCTAGCGGTGGCTCGAGCGGGGACCAGTGCAATAAATGTGCAGTTATCAGTTGAGGAGACCTATGCTGATGTGAAGCCTGTACGAGTCGACAGAGACGCGAAAACTGCTTATGTGTTAGTTCTTAAAAGCCTACATATTTTTTTTTTGTGCAAGATTTTTGATAAATTGCAGACCTTGTGTTTCAGTTCAATAATGCGCGGATGTGATAATATGTGTACCTACTGTGTGGTTCCCTTGACAAGAGGCAGAGAGCGTAGCCGACCTATAGACTCAATCATTGATGAAGTGCGACGGCTCAGTGATGAAGTGAGAATTGCTATAAGTAGATTCTTTCATAGAACTTATGAATTAGAGGGCATCAAGCAAGTGACGTTGCTCGGGCAGAATGTGAACAGTTACCGCGATATGTCTGAGTCGACATATGTCGTGGAAGGGGGAGCAGCTACTACTACAGTTCCTGGTTTCTCAACTGTTTATAAGTATGTTTCGCTTTTGTTGTTGTGTTTTTTAGCCTTCTAATTCTCGATTTAGACCAAAGATTGGTGGGCGTACATTTGTGACTCTGTTAGATAAGATCTCCGAAATCGATCCGGAAATGCGAATTCGATTTACATCCCCACATCCAAAAGATTTTCCTGTAGAAGTAAGGAGTTACCTTCTTCTCCTCTGATGTTGCTCATCGAGGTTTTGTGTAGGTGATCCAACTTATCAAAGAGCGTCCGAATATTTGTAACCAACTACACTTGCCTGCGCAAAGTGGAGATGATGACACATTGCAAAGAATGGGCAGAGGTTATACTCGCGAACTGTACCTCCGACTAGTGGATGACATCAGAAAGATTGTCCCAAGTAGCGTTTTTCAGCACTCCTTAGGCACCTTCCAGGCTTCGCTCAAAAGCGGCCAGAAGCTCTAAATCTACAATCTCTTCGCATTTCTTACATCTCCTCATGCCCGGTCCGCGCTAATCAAAAAAGCGACAGCACGCTAGCGCGGGACGTGTGCGAGAAGTAGTGAGGTTGAAAGGTGTAGAGCTTGAAAATGGAGCGCTTTTGGGCACTTTTGAGCGCTTCCGAGTGAAATCTGGCTGGTGCCATACTGTACGCTAATTTTTCGACTGCAGACGTCAGCCTTACATCTGACTTTATTGCTGGTTTTTGTGGTGAAACTGAAGAAGCTCACCGGAGAACCCTTGATTTGATTCACGCGGTCAAATATTCATTTTGTTATGTCTTCCCTTACAGCATGAGAGAGGTTAGTGAAA